TAGGGTCGCTGGGAATAAATAGGGACGGTCGGGAAACGGTAACCACACCTATATTTTGTTTTGGCCTTACAATAAAGCCATAAAAATGCTAGGTCACCGCTGAATTTGACCTGTGACCTGTGACCTCCAATTTTGGCACAATGATGGCTTTTCCTACCATGATGCTATACACCGACTATCACGAGCCTAGGTCGAGCCGTTTAGATTTGTGCCGCAATTATGCATTTCCTCCCTATACCTTAAGTTAAGGAGTGAATGTTTTGACCCTTGACCTCTTGACCTTTGACCTGTGACCTCCAATTTCGGCACAATGATGGCTTTTCCTACCATGATGCTATACACCGACTATCACGAGCCTAGGTCGAGCCGTTTAGATTTGTGCCGCAATTATGCATTTCCTCCCTATACCTTAAGTTAAGGAGTGAATGTTTTGACCCTTGACCTCTTGACCTTTGACCTGTGACCTCCAATTTCGGCACAGTGATGGCTTTTCCTACCATGATGCTATACACCGACTATCACGAGCCTAGGTCGAGCCGTTTAGATTTGTGCCGCAATTATGCATTTCCTCCCTATACCTTAAGTTAAGGAGTGAATGTTCCTCCTTCTTTTACACCTCTTGACCTTTGACCTTTGACCCCCAGCTTCGACATCCCAACTCGTTTTGACGATCCCCCAATGTGCCGAATATCGTGACCGTACGTCGAGCGGTTAAGATTTGTGCCCAACTGTTGACAGACGGACGGACGGACGGACGGACGGACGATCATGCGATTCTACAAGCTGCATCTGACTATGTCAGATGAGCTAAAAACCTAGAATAGTCCTATCCTACCCATGTTATACCCCGTCAACTTATACCCCCTCTTATCTGATCTCAATATGGCGGCGGGGACTTTCCGATATGGCTTATTCCAACCCACCTCGATTTCTGCATACTAGGACATCCTACCATCAATCCGCACTCCTCCCTCCTTCCAGCCTCTCATTTTCGCCTCTGTACACATATAACAGACATACAGGGACGGACATACAGACGCACGGAGAGAGGGATGGACGGACATACAGACGGACGAAGAGAGGGATGGACGGACATCAGAAGTAGATAATAGGGAAGGAGTGTGACTTCAATAAACAAGGGAAATTCGTCATTTACTAGCCTTAGAATACCTACGATTTACTACGCATAACTCAACCCCCTTGAGCTCAAATCGTACACAGTACATTCGCCTAGCATCGTGCAAAATCGTTTCCTTGTATACACCCGCAATCCGGAGATACAGACTAAAACGTACGACACGAACTCTCCATTCTGTTGCCAGCAAACCGAATCCATAAACTGCCTAACTTGAAACAATAGGCAGCTACTAACGACTCTTGCGCACTCTTGCGCCCTCGGCGATGCGGTGTGGCTTGCTGGGAGATTGAACATCGACGCAACACTCGGCGAACTAATCTTTGACCTATTTACAGCTGGTATGCCCCCCACGCATGCACGCCCACCACAATCAGCAGCAGCTCCAGCTGCAATATCCCAGCGAGCAACACCGCATCGCCGAGGGCGCAAGAGTGCGTAAGAGTCGTTAGTAGCTGCCTATTGTTTCAAGTTAGGCGGGTTATGGATTCGGTTTGCTGGCAACAGAATAGAGAATCGTGTTGTACATTTTAGTCTGTATCTCCAGATTGCGGGTGTACACGAAGAAACGATTTCGGACGATGCTAGGCAAATGTACTGTGTACGAGTTAAGCTCAAGTTGGTTGAGTTACACGTAGTAAATCGTAGGTATTCTAAGGCTAGTAAATGACGAATTTCCCTTGTTTATTGAAGTCACACTCCTTCCCCATTATCTACTTGTGACGGAGATACAGACGGACGGAGAGAGGGATGGATGGACACACAGACGGATGGAGAGAAGGATGGACGACAGCGCACCTGCAACTCTGTTGACAGCTTCGTGCGCAGACTGGTTTCGACCGGTTTCTCCATGGAGCGTGAGTAGTTAGCGGTGGCGATGACTGCGGTGGAGGTCACCGAGGTCGGAATACGAAGTCTCGGTAGCAGAGCGACTGCAACCATGCACCAAGCAAGCGTATAACGTCGTCGAGGGTCGTAATTAAGAAACAAGCTGCTACGTTTGCTGACGCATGGATGCATGCATGCGAGGATACGTGTGATGTTTGGATATGTGTGAGGATACGTGTGATGCGCAGATGTGTGAGGATACGTGTGTGGTTAATGGTTAGCATGTGGACAAGTGGTGTAAGTATCTGGTGTCGCTGATCAAGAAGGATAGTTTGGGACCTCTCAATATGTCTTTTCATATGTGCTACACTAATCTGGGGTGCTAATCTAGGCTTGGGCCGGAGATCGCTACGAGTAAGCAGTTGTTGGGTCTATGTGTGCCACAGGCACCTGGAATGTTTCGATAATAAAATGATGGTAAATAAACATGAAATGGATTTAGTACCCAACTCTTACTATTTCTCTACTCTCTCTTTTGCTTATTATTGGTAATAATATTCTGTAAATGCCATAGAAATTCTCCTCTGCTTCACAAGTGCTCCTCACAAATGCTGCTGTGCACAAACAACAAACATATATATATACAGCAGGTGCGAAAGTGACCACAACATTCGCACGATGGTTGCTTCGTTTCACACAATAATAGCAAAAATACACAACAAAGTGCCTCCATTGTGGTATCTATGTGTAGCTAAATGTTCACTTGTTCGTATTATAATATATTTTCCATTTGGTGCTGCACACTTTACCCAGAGATATCTGGTGAGTGCCTGCAGAAAACTCCCAATCTGCCAAAATTTAAATGGGTGCAAGTGCCTGTTAATCATCCGAAACTCCCTAACCATGCTACTCGATTGTTTAGCCAATGAACGTAGTCGTGTGTGTGGCGTCATTCCCGCTTGAATCATGCTAGCTTCGCTTAGCGGGGCTCATAAGCAGGTACAGCGCTTGAACGCAGAATGCAATGCTGCCCAATTACTCATGTATTAACAGGCACTTACTCCCATTTACGTTTCGGCGGATTGCGAGTTGTCCGCAGGAATTCACCAGATATCTCTGGGTAAAGTGTACCACTTAGCTATACATAGATATCAAACCGGAGGCAATTGGTTGTGTAATTTTGCTGTGACTGTGTGAAACGAAGCAAGCGGTGTGCGAATGGTATATGCTCCGGCAATTTTTTTCTTGCCAAATGGCGTGGGTGCACTACAGGGCATTCCTGTCACGCTTTCCTACCTGCTCTGTGCTCTGTATTTTTGTTGCACAGTTGGGCCATAATAAAAATATAGTTTGTTTGCCCTCACCCAACCGACCCGCCAAAAAGAGGCCGACTCAACAAAATTTATTGATCTTTACTTTTTTTTTTTACAAATTGTATCACTGTACATTATATAAATCTGTAAGCAATACATAATCATTTATGTACCAAGCAAAACAAACATTCAACATGAAAGGTATCTCCACACCAGCACACCCGAGCATGTAGACATCATGCTGAATTTGTTAAAAGACCCCCTTCAAACAAAATAAAAAGCCCACCTATCTACCCAAACTTTTCAGCCTGGTTTAGGTGAGGGCAAACAAAGATTTTTTTAATTGTGGCCTTGCTGTTGGTGCACAGCAGCATTCAGGAGGTGAACTTTTGGGGTGTGTTGTAGAGGAGCATTTGAGCTGGATTTACAGAAAGTTACTACTAGTACTAAAAATGCGCGAAAGGGAGTATAGAAAAACATTACGACTTCGGTAGTGAATACATTTCATATTATTATGATTTTATTATTGTAACGCTCAAAGTTCCTGTGAATGTGGGCGGCCACAACAACGACTGTGACATAGTTTCCATCGTCTACTAGTACTATTGTCCGCACGCAGACATTATAACTCCGCTTTGCTAATCTGAGGGTGCAGGTTTAACCCCCATTACTGGGGTCTGCGTCGGCTCGGACTACTAGTAGTAGCTAGTGCACCGTAGTATTTGGACGCTCCCCCGAAACTGGACGCTCCTAAGTGTGCATGCGCGCAGGCGCCTCTTGTTTTGCAAGGGCACATGTGCAGCATGCGCAGTAGTCATCTGCGCATCTCGCCCATTGAAACGATCGCAACAAACAAACATGGCGGCCAACCCGGTCACTCATGGAAACATTTGATTTAAACAATTTGCAATGTGAATGCAGTAAGTTAGTAAGACTGTGTTATGTGTGTCAGGCAGTGAAAAAAATACACGGGCTCGGGGCAATTAATATTTAACCCCCAAAATGCCAAAAAGAGCCACGGAAATGCCAAAAAGAGCCCCCGTAAATTTGCATAGAGTTCAATGCAAACCAAATTTTAGAGTGCTATTTTCATGCACGTGAGCCTGAAAAGTAGCCCCCGAAAAATAAATTATATTTTTTTCCCTGGTGTCAGGTTACAAAGCGAAACAAAAAGAAAACAAAAGAGCATGGCTACTATTTCCTACAGCCCTGCAAAACAAGATTCAAACAAAAAGAAAATAATAAAAAAACAAAAGAGCATGCGCACATGCGCACTCAGGCGCGTCCAGTTTTGGGCGAGCGTCCAAATACTATGATACAGTAGTACTAGTAGTAGTAGTACTGCTAGTATTACTGCTAGTGCTACTACTAGTACTACTACTACATACGAGTACTTCCAACACGTAAATTAAACGCTGTGGCTATATGCCCGGCTGCCGGGCACGGTCTTCGATTTCCTAAATGCCCGGTAGTTTGAACTCTGTTTGACCTGGCTCGTTTAGATCTTTCTGACTAATCCTAACCCTAACCCTAATTAAATTAAATTAAGACTAATAAATTTAATTAAATAAAAAAATTTTTTTTAAATTAAATTGTAAATAAATCATGTAAATATTTTCGTTAATTGGAAAACAATAGTTAAATGGATAGAGATAGAAAAATACAGAAACAGGAAAATAATTGAAAAACCAACAGGATTCGAACAATCGACCTTTCAGAAGTAAAGCTAGTGCGCTAACCACTCGACCATACAGGATTATGGGAAATAGCACATGACATATGCTAAATAAGCAAACACATGTGGTACACGTGTATATGGAAAACTGCGGGGCATTTAGAATATCGAAGACTGTGTCCGGCTGCCGGGCATAAAGCCACTGCGTAAATTAAAAGTCCCAGCTTCAAACCATACAATAAATTATAACCATACATGACCGAATAATTCTGTCCTATATACCTTTTTTATATTTGGTGAGCGGTTATATTGGGACAGAACGGGGTTCATTGAAATTTCGTGAGATGCGCATGCAAAATGCATGCGCTGCTGATGCGGCCCGTAACGCCGTTATTGGCCGCGAAAAAAACCCTACCGTTCCTTCTACCATGACTTTACCTTGCTACAGATATGTATATACATCACTTCAATCGTTATTCACTTCCTAAAAGATTGTTTTTCAGAAACAGCGCTTCATTCCACTTTCGTAAATAACATTCGCCATTTACAAACAATCAGACCAATCAGAGCGAGTCTATCAGCCCTCCTGCAGCGCCCACAGATTACAAGCGAGAACCAGGCTATTGTAAACATCGCTCTGATTGGTCGGTTTTGTTGGTCTGGTAGGTGAGAGGGTCTATGTCCCCCGGGGTACTGCCGGAGCGTACCTGGGTCCGGTCCGGTATACCGGACGTACCCTGGTACTATCTAATATGCCGGACCGTACCTCGCCTACTCCACTAACGAATCTAGGGAGTCGCCTACGCTACTCCCTAACCCTAAACCCTAACCATATCAAATAGTGACCAGGGTACGGTTCGGTTACCGGACCGTACCCAGGGTACGTTCCGGCAGTACCTGGGGACCACAGGCACTTGGACCGTTTCAATAATAAAATGATGGTTAATAAATACACACTTGTTCAGTACTGACTGTACTAGCCCTACCAGTACCAGTACTCCAATAGTCTTAATCGTTTGATATAACTTTCACTTCAACACCGTCATTACACCGCTGCAACACATAGCCGCCGCCATTGTGCATGCACAGATACACAGTGATAGAGAGTGATACACAGTGATACACGTAACACACTCTAACCTACTGTGTATCTGTGCATGCACAATGGCGTGCGGCTATTATAATCGATATATGTGTGTTGCAAGCGGTGTATTGGACGGTGTTGAAGTGAAGTTATATCAAACATTAAGACTATTGCTGTTACTGGTACTGGTAGGGCTAGTAGTACCCGTAGTACTACTACTAGTAACTAGTAATACCTTGTCATTATATCCAGCGTAGTGGACACCGACAAGTATGAGAACATAACATAACATAACATAACATAACATAACAGTACTGACAAGTTGTATTTATTAACCATCATTTTATTATTGAAACGGTCCAAGTGCCTGTGAGTGTGTGGGAGACATAGACCCTATGACTGTATGAGTATAGGCAGCACTGGCGCCACTGCCACATGGCGCCACTGGCAGCAAGAGGTCAGATGGCCGCGTGGTGTTGTAGCTGCAGGGGCGGGACTGGTTCTTGCTG